AACATGTAAGTATCCTACTGGCTTCTCATTTGAAACTTAGTTCTCAATTATGTTGAGTTAATCGATCGACGGAATCGGCCAAAAGGGGGTGAATTGGCAATTAAAATTTTGGTGGAAGCTTTTGCAGAAAATTGAAAGTAATTGCACAGCGATTTAGAGTGGTTCGACTTTCTCAATCAAAGTCTACGTCCACTACCTTAGCTATCCACACTAAGGATTTTCCAACAAATTCACTAATTTGTTTTTTCTTTTGAGGCCAAATAGATAACCTTACAACTCCCTCAAGAATATACCCTAATTCTTGAGAACACTCTTTCTCAAAGAGAATATTACAAATTTGCAAACTTACAAGGAAATCCTCACAAGGTAGATTGTTTGTACAATTATAGAACAAAGAAAAGAACACTAAAAAATGAATACAATTGAGTACAAGTAGTGTTCTTGAAAGCAAAATGAATATTGAATGAAAAATAGGCTTGAAATGCTCAAACTTGAGGTTTGATGTTTTCTCTTTGATTCTCTCTTGATTCTCTCTTGATTCTTGTTGATTGTTGTTTCTTGTTGTTGATCAATGGCTTCTAAGCTTGTTTAAATGCACCTTCAAATGATTCTGAACGTTGGGGATGCTTAGTGGAGTCAATAGAGTCGTTTAAGTGTGAAAACAATTAATTAAAGTAGTTGGGAGCGTCAGTGCATCGATGAATACCCATGGTGCATTGGTGCATCAGTGTAAAATTCAAATATTTTGACCGTTGGACCCTTAGTGCATCGGTGCACTAAGAGTGCATCGATGCATCAAGTGCATTCGACGTTTCAAAATAGCCAGAGTGCATCGATGCATGGCTGATGCATCGATGCATCAAATGCATTCGATATTTTCATAAAATCATCAGTGTATCGATGCATGGATTGGTGCATCGATGCATCACTTTGATAAATTGATTTTAGGCTTGATTTTGGTTCAAAATACTTTATGAAAATTGTTTCAAAAACAATTTAAGTATAAAACACAATTTTACACATTTAGTAAGGTTTGAATTTGAACTTGAAAGACTTGGAGTAATAATTTGATATTCGATTAATTAAATCGAATATAATTTCATTTAAACTTAATTTGTTATATCGAAACACAAAAATGTTTTCAACAAATTATCTCCTAAAACTAATGAAGAACGAGAGTATATGGCAAAAGTTCCATACGCTAATGCAGTTGGGAGCTTGATGTATGCAATAGTGTTACGTGTCCTGACATTTCACAAGCAGTTGGAGTTGTGAGCAGGTACATGCATGATCCTGGAGAAGGACATTGGTAAGCTGTGAAATGGATTCTACGGTATCTCCAACAAACCGTGGATGTTGGTTTAGTTTTTGAACAGGATGAAACACTTGGTCAGTGTGTGGTTGGATATGTTGATTCTGACTATGTTGGTGATTTGGATAAGCGTCGATCAACTACTGGATATTTGTTTACTTTTGCTAAAGCCCAGTAAGTTGGAAGTCTACTTTGCAATCTACGGTGGCTTTGTCTACTACAGAGGCAGAATACATAGCAGTTTTAGAAGATGTGAAGGATGCAATTTGGCTTAACGGGTTGATGCAAGACTTAGGAGTTGTTCAAAGTCACATTAATCTCTATTGTGACAGTCAGAGCGCTATTCACTTAGAGAAAAATCAAGTATACCATTCAAGGACTAAGCATATCGACGTGAGGTATCACTTTGTGCGGGAGATCTTTGAAGAATGAAGGATTTTACTTCAGAAAATTACGACATCGGAAAATCCTGCATATATGATGAGCAAGGTGGTAACAGTAATCAAGTTCAATCATTGTTTGAACTTGATTAACATCCTGAAAGTTTGAGCACCTTCGAGTGTATGGCGCTTGTGAGCGCAATTAGAGGCACTACATTAAAAGAGCTTCATGAAATTTGGGGAGTTGAAGAAATTGAGTAGGCTTGGTAATTTCAAGCCAAGGTGGAGATTTGTTATGTTTGGCTTGAAAAATTAGCAAAGTTGAAAGTTGGCAAAGTTGACATCTTTGGTTGGTGGCTAACTTGTACACATTGGAAAATTCTTTGGTAGGTGGCCAACTTATTTTTCATCTTTGATCCCTAAAATATTAGGTTATTTATAAGTTTAGTCCTTAAAACTCAACTATAAATAGGCCTAAGTATTTCATTAGAAATCATCCCAAAACAAGTTCTCTCTTCCTCTTGTTTTCTTCATTCTCTCACTTTGGGAATTCTAAAGAATTTCATTTGTTGTAATATTTGTTGATAGTGAAGTTATCATCCGGTGTGGTGCCCGAGGAGTAGACGATATTCTCGTCGAACCTCGTAAATTTGGTGTGTTCTCTCCTTTATTGTTCTTTATTCAGTTTTTCCATTGTGTTTCAATATTCAATAGTTTGACGGGTTTATCCAATGTGCAACCTTTGGTGGTTTTGCTCTTGAAATTTTAGGTCAATTTTGAAACTATGTTCGTGTGGGAAATAACCCAGTTTCCCCAACACTTGATACAACGTGGACATTTCTTAGACTTTTCCTAGAATTACTCAAGTTCCTCAAATTGTCATCTTTTTTCTTCATCATCGAAGTAATGCTGACGATCACGAAAAAGAACACGACGACAAGAGTTACGGAGGTGACGATTAAGGCAACGGTGGAATGTGAATTTGATTTATCTAAAAGCGGATTGTGAATGCAGCGTTTCTTAAGTTATTCCCCGCAAAGCCTAACGTTCCCTTCAAATGTGGAAGCGTTGAAGTTCAACATACTCTTCGGGATGTTCCCTTCGAGTTGATTACCCTTTAAATAAAGTGATTTAAGAACATTAGGGTATTTCAGCCCTGGGATTTTCCTGAAAAACTGATTCCCTTCTAAATGCAATTCCACGAGGTTGGATAGTTGCATCAATGAGCTTGGGATGTTCCCGGTAAACTTGTTTTGATTCATCCACACCTCAATTTTCCCATCAATCCGAAATACGTATCCGATATCTCGCCAGAGAACTGATTGTTCGATAAGTAAATAGACCTTAAACCCCTGAGTTTATTGAACTCGGGGATCGGTCCGGTGAAGGCGTTCTTGGCCAGATTGATAGTTCTCAAGTTACGAAGCTGAGACAAAGCTTCGACATGGATAGAACCAGAGAGACCATGATTCGTCAAATAGAGAACGATGATGGTTTCACCGTTGCACATGACGCCAACCCATTTTCTATGACAAGGTGACGAGTTTGGGATCCATTCTTCAACTTCGAATCGCCGTTCTCCAACGATTTCTTGAACTTGAGAAGGAGAGGAACGGCTTCGGGTTTAGAAAAGCAAAGGGTCGGGAGAAGAAAAAGAGTAAGAAGAACCAAAACAAGGGAACCAACAACAGCGGCGGACATTGGTGAAATCGGAGGGGAAAACGACGAAAGAAAGCTCCGCCCCCGATTCGAAATGATTATTGCTGCTGCAGCTCCTTGTAATGGCAATGGCAATGGATCGTGTGGTTTTGAGCTGAGGGTTTGTTTCGTTTGATTCTAACAATAGATATTCCGGTGGTGGTTACAACGGCGGTGTCTAGTTTTAGCTATTAAATATTAATGGCGGTGTCGGCTTTAAGTATATAACGAAACTTCACCTATATTTCAGACAAGGTTATTACAAGCGAACGTATCAAAAAAGGGTTAATTGCATCTTGGGACCCACTGAATTAGATCCCATAAAATAATTAGTATTTAATTTGTTATTATAAATAATTAGTATTTATCTCTGTTCCGGCTTTACTAAGTTCTTGGCTTCATCTTTGGTTTTTGGTTTAAATGGTATCGAGTTTAGATTAATTGTTAGTCCATTCGAATCCAACTAAAATTTTCTATATTTAAATCTGATTGAAGTACAGTCGATTTAAGAATATTAGATTAAGATTTTGTTTGTATCCTTTCAAAAAATATTTTTTGTATTTTTTAATGTTTGATTAATGTAAAATAAGTTGGTCAATATAATTTATTTTTTTAACAAACGTAATTTTTTTATATTCGTTGTAAAGTATTTTACGAATTAATTTTTGATATGATATAATTATTTTTACTTGAAAATATAAACACTTAAAATATCATCGTCACCGGCACATCTCCCTCAACAACAACGATAACCCTTGTGAGTACATATCATATTTTCTGTGTTCGATTTTCTTTTTTTCCCCAACTCTAACCATATTATCTCCAAATCACTTCATTTTCTTGTTCATTCTCTGATTTTTTTTTTTTTTTTTTGTAACTCTTCATTTTCTTCCTCTAATCCGAACACAAATACGGGAAATTTTTTATTTTTTTTTCTTATGATCTTCAAATTTTAGATCAATGTAGCATATAAGTCTTTTTTTTATTTTGAATATTTTCTCTTAATCAAATATTGAGATAATATTTATCGGTGTAGAAAAATATTTTTCTTTAAGAGGGAAGTTTGAGGGAAAAAGAACTTATATACGTCTAAATAATTTAATATTTTTTATAATATATAATATTGGTTAAATTATTGTAACATTTAAAAAATAATAATATTAAATTTATTTATAATGAATAATATTATTTATTGTATTTTGGTATTTATAACAAATATTTTTTATATTTTTATTAAATAATATAGATCAATTTATACAGGATCATTCAAACATAAGTAAATCATTTTCAATTTTTTCTTCAAAAAATATAATTTATTCTTAAGAAATTATTTATCAAAATCTATTTTAAGTTAAATAAATAGACTCTAAATTCTGGAGTTTGAAATGATTCAATGACAAGGATCAACAACATCAATTATTAAGTTCTCAAGGCATAACAAGTAGACCATTTTTAATCTCTTAGTCTTCAACACCATCATCGGTAACCCTGTCCGTATATAAAAGGATTGAATCATAATCCGACAAGGTACCTAACGTCGAGAGTCGAGTTCCACACATATATATTGTATTTGACAATTTTTTAACTTCAACATGCATGGTTGATCAGGGTTAATTAACATCTTGAATAATATTAATAGCGTCGTTCAAGCTTAATCGTTGGTCAGGGTTATTTTTAGTGCAAGCAACTCCGATTCGAATGATTTTGATCATTTGGTCGATCGAAGCTATACCACTTGACAATATTTCAGGATCAATCAGCTCTTCACCATGGTTCTCTGATATCGACGATTCTGCCCATTGCACGATGTCGATCCCACTGTCATCATCGTTCAAATATTGCGAAGGGTGCTTACCAGTCATGATTTCGAGGATGACAATGCCAAGGCAATAAACATCGGAATTGGGAGAGGCATGTTGTTGGATTTGGAGACATTCCGGGGACCGGAAAGCGAGCAATCCTTGAACGACTCTGTCGGAGTTTACTAATGTGTGGAAGCCGTAATCGCTTAATAGCGGATCATAGGATTCGGTGAGAAGAACATTGCTGGATTTGAGGTTACCATGGGGAACAACGTTGGTTGCTAACTCTGTGTGGATGTAACCAAGTCCATTGGCGATTCCTTTGATGATCTTCAAACGATTTTGCCAATTTAATCTTCCATGAAAAAATCCTCGGTCGCCTGCATGAAAAAGGAGTTAATTACACTAGACGTCCTCAAATATTTTCCCAAATTTCAAAACACGTGATAAAATTTTAATCATGTGTATATCTATTGTACGAAGAACTTTGAATCTAATATATACATACGTTTTTAAAATTTGATTTGTTTATTTTAAACATACTATATCGAATCTGAATCTTAATTTTAGAACGTTAGATGCAATTAACCCAAAAAGATGAAGATGAACGTACCGTGCAAGGCATACGACAAGCTACCACAAGGCATATATTCCGAAATAATAAGCTTCTCCTCTTTTCTAACATGGAATGCCAATGGTGTCAAAATGTTTGGGTGCTTAAATTCTCCGAATCGTTTCATTAAGACTATGAATTCGTCTTTCCCCAACTTATTCATCTCTCTCATCCTCTTCACCACCACAGGCAATCCGTTCTCGAGCACGGCCTTATATGACAAGCCCAACGGACCGTTTCCGAGCACCTCGGCCTCGGCCTTCATCAAATCTTCAAACCCAAAGGCACCCTTTTCTTCGTTCACCATTATCAAATCATCCATCTTATTCTTGTTCCCTTTCTGTGATGACCCTTGTCTGATCTTTAAGCTCAAACTATTTGAACTACTCTTCCGACTCGATTCTATTGATGTATGTCGAGTCGAGCCGGACACGACGTGTACTTTCTTCAAAGTTTCCCTAAAATTAGTTAGGTTCTTCAAATTTTCGTCTCTCTCCTCTATCGTCGAAGCAATTTTGGTTATCACAAAAAAGAATACGACGAAAAAAGTTACGTAGGTTACGATTATGGTGAGGGTGGAAGGTGAAGTCGGTTTATTTGAGAGGGGTGAGGGAGGGCAAGCTTTATCAAGTTGTTCCCCACAAAGCCTAACGTTCCCTTCGAATGTGGAAGCGTTGAACTTGGACATACTTTTTGGGATGTTCCCTTCGAGTTGATTACCCTTTAAATCAAGTGATTTAAGAACATCGGGATATTTCAGCTCCGGGATTTTCCCGGAAAACTGATTCCCTTGTAAATGCAATTCCACGAGGTTGGATAATTGCATCAATGAGCTTGGGATATTCCCGGTGAACTTGTTTTCATTCAGCCACACCTTCTTCAATTTTCTCATCGATCCGAAATACGTATCTGGTATCTCGCCGGTGAACTGATTGTTCGATAAGTAAATAGCCTTTAAACCCCCGAGTTTATTGAACTCGGGGATCGGTCCGGTGAAGGCATTCTTCACCAGACGGATGGTTCTCAAGCTACGAAGCTGAGACAAAGCTTCGACATCGATAGAACCTGAGAGACCTAGATTCGTCAAATGGAGACCAATGATGGTTTCACCAACGCACATTACGCCAACCCATTTTCTCCGACAAGGTGACGAGTTTGGGATCCAATTCTTCAACTTCGAATCGCCGTTCTTCAACGATTTCTTGAACTTGAGGAGGGGAACGGCGTCGGGTTGAGAGAAACAAAGGGTGGAAAATAGAAAAAGAGTGAGAAGAATCAAAACAAGGGAACTGACAACCGCGGTGGACATTGGTGGAACCGGGGGGAGAAACGACGTAAGAAAGCTCCGATTCCAAATGATTACTGCTGCTGCAGCTCCTTGCAATGGCGATGGCTATGGATAGAGTGGTTTTATGCTGAGGTTTTGTTTCGTTTGGTTGGCTGTGCCGGTGGCTTCGAGTGGAGGTGTCGAAATGGTGGGGTGTCGAAGGTTGCTTTGGATTCTAACAATAGAGATTCCGGTGGTGGTTACAACAGTGATGTCTGCTTTTTGCTATTAATGGCGGTGTCAGCTTCAATAGTATATAACGAAACTTCAATTGTATTTTGGACAAGGTTATTACACGGGAACGTCTCTTACAACGGGTTAATTGCATCCCAAGTCTCTTATTAAAATAGTTATTTTTTTTTTAGTTTTGATCCTACCAAAAATTTATAATTTTATCTGTCTCTTCTACGCTAAATTCTCACCTTCATCCTTGATTTTCGTTTTATATCTTGTCGAGTTCAGGTTAATTTTGAGTTTTGGTCAATTTTGATACAAGTAAACTTTTTTATGATCAAATTAGAATGAGTTAGAAGTGATTCAAGAAGATTAAATTATGGTTTTGTTTGTTTCATGTAAATAATTTTTGAAATTTTATTTTTTGTGTTTTTTAATGTTTCATTAATATAAAATAAGTTCATCAATATAATTTATTTTTATAATTTCTAACTTCCACATTTGTGCTACTATGATGATGTTAGTTTATATTTTAGTCACTCATTGTTGAAATTAATCGAATTCATAGACCGATAAGTATATATGATGGTGATGATGGGGTCTTATATAATTAGTGTAAACATGTATGATGATCATATTCATCAGGGGAAATCATAATTTTTTTTACCATATCTAACTTCCACATTAAATGATTTGTTGAAGTTATTCAAGTTCATGTTTAAGTATGTATGACAGTGATGGAGGGTTGTGTAAACATGTATTATGATCGTATTAATCAAGGGAATCCTTAGTCAATTTACCAATTTCTAACTTCCACATTGTGCTAGCATAATGATGTAACCATTAGATAATTTTCCGTCGATCAAATTAGTCGAGTTCATGAATCCATAAATAATGGAATTGAATGTCACTAGAAACAAGCCAGGTTGTAAGTGGTTATGGTGGGGGTCTTATAATTAGTGTAAGCATGTATGATGGTCGTATAATCGGGAAAGTTTATAGTGATTTTATCGATTTCTAACCTCCATAGTGTGCTAGTATAATGATGTTAGTTTATGCTTTAGTCATTAAGTAATTTCTTATCGTTGAAGTTAGTCGAGTTCATGAACTGATAAGTACTTTTGAATTTGACAGTGATACTGAAAGTCACTGAAAACAAGCTAGGTTGTGATCGGTGACACTAGTGACTTATAATTTGCCGTCGCGATTCGTTATTTTCCCATTTTGATTAAGATTTTGGATTTCAATGGCTTCACCTTGCTGTTGTGGTATGACATTTACAATATCTATTGCTAATTTTGGATGTGTTCCCATTTATGATATCATACAGGGTGAGAAACAACGGCCACTAATGCCTCCGTTGCCATCATACGGGCACTGAAGAGAACGTCATGAACCTCAGTATGGGAGTTTAATCAACGGTCAAAGCCTCCAAGATGTTATAATCTTTTAGTTTCTTTGCCCCGTTTGTATCGTTAGATACGGCATCTCTGTTACCGGAATTGTGTTTTGCGAATTCCGAGTTACCATTGAAGCTGTGTGTTTGGTCATTGTATAATTTGTGTCTTGTTTCTACAATTCAACAGGGCATAACGGTATCTAAAACGGACAGGGACAATCATACCAGGGGTCCGCTTGTGCAGATTATGTGCTCTAGTGACATTGTAATCGCCAATATAACCTTACGTGATTCTCCGTTTTGGACTTTTCATCCATACAACTGCAAGAACATAACGGTCAGGAACGTTACCATCATCGCTCCTTTACATGAAGCGTGGAATTCTGACGGAATCGATCCCGGTAAGTAGGAACAAAATGTGCTGAGAATTTGGCTCAAATCTATGCCTCTGTACAACATTTCGGTTTGTTGATTTGCTCTGCAGATTGAAAAGATTAGTTCACTCTGGATGTGACTAATTGATAACCATTTGTTGTAAACAGATTCATGTGAGGATGTCATAGTCGAGGACTGCTACATAGGCTTCGGAGATGATGCAATTGCAGTAAAGAGTGGGTGGGATCAGTATGTCGGTAATGTCCGAGTTGGAATCGTTATGAAGACAGACTACAACGAGCACCCAGACGAAGATTTCGACAAGAAAGCCCTCCCGATAGTTAAGGACATAAGTGTCACAGGGTTACATCAGCTGATCTCCACAGTCATTTCCATGCCCTTGAAGCGGGAACCATCGAGCATGTATTGTCCGTGTGCAACGAGATAAAGATGTCGGTTTTGTGAGATATGGTTCGCATGATGAAGCGGCTCTAGCCATACAGATAGGAAATGTTCAAATTCTGTGCAGAAAATCAATTACAACGTACATACATCCCATATATACTCACCTTATTAATACAATTGTTTTAACTTGAAATTTTTAAGAAGAATAATATACTTTTTACTAAAAGACTACTTGATAGGTTCGATCATACTATTTTTGTATTTTAATCATTAAATTATCGAATCCTTTAATAAAAATACAAGTATTAGAGATGTGTATGTGAGATATGAGTTAGTTTAAGATATATATTATTTTTAAAGTATTTTTCCTATCTCATTTTCTTATCATATTATCGAGTATAAAGATGGTTATGAGTCGGTTAGGATTGAATTTTTGACTTAATTAATCTCGACTCTGGTATGAGAAGTGTCACTCTCTACTCGTCACTTGACCTATCTTTGATTTTAGAAGATTTTACCCAACACGACATCGACTCAAAACGTGGAATAAAAATTCAAATCCGGTAATTTTACACAAATCAATTTCAAATTTCTCTCATTGATTCCTATCATTTCTCGTCTATTCTTGTATTGTCTCTCTAATAATAAATAAAGAACAAAGAGGAAAAAGTGGAGGAGATGAGTAACGACAAAACTGAGAAAAAGTGAGGAATAATTAAATTGATCAAAATAATATATGATAATATTTTTTGTAAATATTATTTTTATAATTATATTAAATTAGATAAAATTAAACATTTATATCTTAAATCAGATTTTGACTCAAATTTTAATACTCTCTTTCACATAATTCAAAATTCATTTTTTTCAAAAAATTATATCAATTTTGATAAAATTAGATCAAAACTTGTTAAATTTGAATCAATTAATCACCCCTAACTAGATATACATCAATAAAATTTATTTTTTTCTTGTATTTTCACTTTTCAAAAGTTTGAATTTCTCTTTCTCCCAATTTTCTTTCTATTTTACCAAATAAAGTTCAAGTGTCCTTTAAAGACTAAAGTGTACATTAACACTTTAATCTAAAAGTAAAAGTAAATCATATCTCAAACTTTCCAACAAAATCAGAATCCTTTTGCTTAAGCTTTTAAAAATGAACAAAAATGAAATTGGAAAAAGAAAAGCATAAAAATTGCAAAAAGGAACTTCATTTCTTATCAAATTTCACATCTTTCTCATTACAACATATATGCCTCTACTCTACAAATCCGACCAAAATTTTCAAATTTTTTTCAAATTTTTTTCTTCTTATTCTAAATTAGCATCGGGAAAATTAAACTAATCTATTAATCCCCTCATAAATTGTATGATATTTTTCCTATAATTTATATATATTCAGCTGGTTTGACCAAAGGCTAAATTGCAAGAATCCCAGTGGAGAAAATCTGCCCAGAATTATTATCAAAATTCAAACTTGATTTTTTCACAGATTTCGAAGCTTCTGATTTGCATCTCTCTTTCCTCTCATCGATCATTATCTGTGTTGCTCTACACTCGGAACTACAGAAACCCTTCTCCCCTCTGCAAAAAGAAAAAAAATCATTAAAACAGTCGAATCAATGGAAAATAATCAATCAAAAAAATTATTAGAAGGGGTTTTAGCTCATAGTTCTTACCTGTACATGTATATGTCCTGTCCATGCAACTTCTTCTTGCAAAGATGACAAGAACTGAGAAAGTTCGAGGTTGGGTATTCTTCATCTTCGACGAATCTCGCCGCCGCCTCCGTTAACGACGGTGATAACGGTGTTTCCTTAACTGCTCCGGAGAAGAACCCATTTCTGTCATGTCTTTGTTCTTCATTAATATACACCTTCGTCGATGATTTCCCATGTCCATGATGGCTTATCACAAACGTATAATCCTCCGAATTATCATCCACCTCCAACCCCTCCAATCCTCCGATCAGTCCACCTTTTCCGATCGCCGCCGTCGGCCGATTCGAGCTGCGAATAGATTTCTCCATCGAAGCAATGATTCCGAGACCCACACCGCCGGCGTCGTACCACTTTAAACCTCTCGGTGATGGGGTTTTAAGATCTAGTGGACCTTTGGGGCTTCTTATTGGATCCCAAAACGCCGATTTGTGGGTGGAGATGAGTAGCTCCGGCAAGTTTCCGATCAAGGGTCGAACTCTCTTCCCTAACATGGCTCGAGGAAGAAGAATCAAAGTGATTGTTTGATGGAAGGGAGAGGATTTGAGGGTTGTTTTTATAAAATATTTTTTCCAAGAGAGTTAAGAAATGTATGATGATGGTATGGTTGGGAGACAGCCCATGGTTTAGTAGTTTGGAGCTATATGGATGATGATTGCTGTTTTGGCTACTATGGAAGGAAATTATATCGTATAAAGTAAACTATGATAATTGAATTTTATAAAATAATTTTAATATATTATAAATCGAATTATATTTTGCCTACTCTAGTTATTTTAATGGGTTAATTTTAAAATAGTATTCACAAATTATGATTTAAATAGTAAATTAATCTCTGATCCTCAAAAAAAAATGATCGAGTTTTCAATGAATCAATTACGATCATTGTTTTGAAAATTGGACCGGTCGGT